AAAATAGAAAAACAAATAATGCTACATAGGCTATTTCTATTTCTTCGCACTAGATACCAGCCCCACCACCCCACCCCCACCCCCGCTCATGGGGAGTGCGTACAGTTGATCATAGTTCCTGGGCTCCCTGTGCTCTTGCGACAAAGATCTGATTTTTGTGTACACAATCTTGATTACTTGTTCGCTAACTCCACTCACCACTTACCGAATTTCGTGCGTTTTTGACTTATGTGCATTTTTAGCATTGACATTAATTCTCGTTAAACTCTGTCTCATTATTATTTTGGTATTGGTCAACAGTGTGTGGTTTCTTTTGCTCACTGTCAATCTGTTTTTCAAGAACCATTGCCAAATAATGCACACAGAGTGACAAATTATTTCTATACAAAACAATGGGAAGATGTCCTAAAACAGACAAAATATGCGTTTTTCAATCCTATTTTGTACATAACTTGTACATAATTGGATACGGTAACCCAACATTTTTCATGCAATTGTTCATCAATCTTTGTAACATTAAATGCCGGCCACACGAGTAAGAGAAAATGACAATATTTTTTGAGTAGTGGTCTACCTTAACTTTGATAACCTGATAAACTGATGTACTACATAATGCAGGGTACTTTGGAAAATAGTACTGATGTAAGGGGTAGGCCGTTTGAAGAAATATATGGGGATGGCGCGGGAGATTTGTTTAAAAAAATGCAAGGTAGACATACAGTGCATGCAATGTGATGCAGGGAAAGGGGAAGGGTGTTAGGACATGAAACATATACGGATAAGACAACGTGGAACTTTGTATATCTTCCCCGCTGAATCAGCCCAGGGGAATTTCTTATAATCGTAGTTAAAATAGTGCAAGAAAAGTATTTGGATTATGTGATTGTACTCTGATCATCATCTGACGGAGAACACATCAAATCGTCCAGTATTAGAAGTCAGAGCACCTCGAATCGTCGGAGCTGAGGCTGGAAACGCTGCAAATCGTCCTGGTATTTTACAGGAGTCTTTGGTGAAAGAGTTACACATGTAGTGCATTTCAAGGGTTGTGTTTTTCACTTTTCTTACAGTAATCCATATAATACTGATCCAAATACCACCCTCATTGTGGTATGTAACGCATGTGGAAACAGGTAGACTTGCAGCTGGAAACTTGTTTCTTAAAAGTTCTTGTACTTGTCAAGTTTTCAGTAAATCCGAATATCTGAATCTCATGATTGTATATACATATCGTAAATTCCCTGCTTGAAAAGAGTCGAAAAGGAACTAATACTCCCTGATTCAACCAAACAAACTCAAATTCATGAAAAAACAATAGTTCTTTGATCTGGAGAGCCCAACATTTATTCTTCTTTTCAGCCATTTTATTAAACGAAAAGTACCCAGCCACATTTATATATTTTGGGTTGATTCCATAAATTTCTTTAAAATGCGGGAAAAAATGTTTATTTTAACAAATGCAACATGTTATAAAGACTACTAATCTGCACAATCTATATTGGGAAAGGAATGTAATGTTCGTCGGGTGGGATTGCTCAGGGTCGTGAATTTGTTTTCTTGAACAGCTACTATAGAGGCACTTTTTCTGAAATGGCGATTACCAGTATCTCCAAACACCGAGACATTCTCCAAATTAATATCCGTTCAAGCGTTTTATGTCTGACATATCTCGCAATGAATTCCTTGGGGTGAAAAGATTACATAAAATATTCGGTGAATACCGTCCAATCAGGACCCTATTTTCCAAGTATGAAAACAAGCACACTGATAACCCACCATCACCAAAACAAACGTTTACAACTGGGCTGTTCTGAATGCGATTTTATTGAATTCTCCAGATTTGTAAATACTCTATTTCGGGGTAAAATTGCTGCGAGTACTTCTTTGCAAATGAGTTGTTACAAAATTATTGACAAACACAAATTAGACTGAAACAAAGCCATGAACTAAAAATAAACAAAGCAATAACCAGGGTATAAACATCATGATATCAGATGCGTTTTCATGTCATGCAAACCAAATCAAGTGACTCTTGTCACTGTTTAACAATTAATTTGCATTGAAAATTACATGTAAAGTTGACATTGGTTGAGAACATTCAAAACTCACAGTTAGAAGCGCAGTCTCAAGGTGAGGATTTGACATTTGATAAAATATTCGTAATACTCAACATGCATGTACAAAATGAGCACTGTTTCGAATCGTAACACTTGTGGACAACTGAAATCCTTGTTTCGGTCATGGGAATACTGAAGTACTGCGGTAAAATATTTTTTTTTTAGCTGGAATTAATTTTTCGATGAATAGACATTTTGGGTATTTTGTATGGAATTCATTTTCACTGATTTTTTGGGAGTTGGATGTGAAATAAGAAAAGTGTATTTTCGCTGGATTTTTTATTTTCACTGAATCGTCTCTTCAGCGAAATACGTTTTATTGGTAACGAATTTGTCTGTAAGCTTCCAGATTGTTTTTGAAACCATGGGTGTAAAGGTATGCCTCGCTGTTTTTTTTATGACTTTCGGTCATTCTGCAAAATGTAGGTATACTATAGTTTCTTGCCGAAAAACGCGCTTTGCTTTTGTCAAAAGCGCCCCCAATGCCAATCTTTTGCGAGAAAATTCCACCCAAAGTCCAGGTGAGTCCCCCGGGCTTTGAACGTTAACGGCTTTCGTAAAATATCATGATAACCCGTATAAAACTGACATTTTGCATTCGTATGATTAAGTCAATCACGTCTATTCAAATTGCGATGAAGAACTGACAACATTCCCACGAAAGGAATCAAAAGCCGTCTGTTTCGTCAAACTTTGTCAAAATTCAGGCCAAATGGAATACACAAAATAATAAAATGCGTTTCTTTTTATTTTGGATTATTGTGATGTATGTAATGCTGGCAATGAATAGTATTATACTTTATATGTTTATCGGTCCTAGCACATTTCGCCTATCCGGGAACAGGAATGTCAGATCGCGTACTAATTCTAAAAATAAACTTTGCGTCATCTCAAATAGAAACATGCGCGCGCATGTAGGTAGCGGACGACCAAACACCTGCACCACCATCAAGCAAGGACTGGATATTTTAACCGCAGTATTTGCAGCTGACTTACAGTGATTATCGATAATTATTGTACCCTTGTTCTTTCGATTGTTGGGAGTTTTTTTTTTATGATGGTCCGAGTATAGTACCGCGAGAGAGACTTGTATTTCTTTGAAGGGCTGTACATTAAGTATGACCAGAGGTACATTAATGTACCTCTGGTATGACTAAGTGTTATATTAGTGCAGACGACAAACAAGATGTCGGAGAATATTGTATTTCCAGTAGCTGTCATTTGTACACAGAACAATGATAAAGATAGGAGAGTTTGTTTCATAAGGGATATGACACTCACAATTAGTTATTAAGTAAGTAATTCTATTACTTTTATATAAGTTATGTACACGGGTCCAATCTGATATTACTATCTCATTTCTGGTAGTACAAACTGTCGTCTGCATTTCTCCATTATTGAAGTAATTTCACGACTAAGGGTAATTTTACAGCTTGGAACAAGTAAAATTGGCATTCGGGCAATTGAATAGTAACTCACTTGCCTTGACGAACATAGTACATATGTATAAGCAACATAAGTAAGTTTTAAGGTAGAAGCCTACTCTTAATTTTTAAGAAAGGTGGTCATAAATCGCAACTATTTTCATTGGTTTATTATGTACATCCATGGAGCTGTTGTCCAATGACACGATGAAATAGCATTTTTGGCGTTTTTTGAGAAACTTGTCCTAATATTTTTCAAAAACCGACAAGTCCACAGAATACAAAGTTGCATGTTTGTCACTTTTAAAAACCCAGATTTTTGAAATAATTCAGGACAACAAAAAGTTTCCCATCATTAACAATATATTATTTTTTCAGCCTAGGTTTCCAGCCAACAACTTGAGATATGGCATAATATCTCTTCCTTATGTTAAAAGTATTATAATATTGTCAAACTATCTACTAAAATACAACCAGCATTTTCTGGAAAACTAGGCTGGAGTACAAATTTACAGCAAAATGAATAAATTCTGACTTCAACCTTAATCTTTTCACCACCAAGCTTTCTTGCCCAAATTATTCTGCACTTTTTTCTTATATTCTTCAATATTTCTAGCTCGAGCAAGGTTTGCTTGGGTGAAGTTTAGGGAATGTGGAGAGCTACTATATGGGAAGAGATTTCCCTTGGAGATGAAAGGAATAGTTTATAAGAGTTGTGTGAGATCAGCATTGCTGTATGGGAGCGAGACATGGTGTTTGAGTGAAAATGAGTTGGGTATTTTAAGGAGGACAGAGAGAGCGATGGTGAGAGTGATGTGTGGGGTGAAGTTGATGGACAGAAAGATAACTGAGGACTTGATGCAGATGTTGGGTTTGAAGGAAGCGGTAGATCAGTAGGCGAAGGCAAATGGGGTACGTTGGTATGGACACGTGCTGAGGAGGGAGATAGGGCATGTATTAAGAAGGGCCCTTGATTTAGAGGTGAGCGGTCCAAGGAAAAGGGGAAGGCCAAAGAAGACGTGGAAGATGCAAGTGGAGAAGGAGAGTGGGAAGGTTGGGATGAGGATGAGGGATGCTTTAAATCGTGCAAAGTGGAGGGAGGGGGTAAGAGCGATTGCCACTAGTTTAAGGTGAATCCGGCCACCCACGTCTTCGGGGACCAAACCGGATTTAAAACTCTGGACTACTACTACTACTACTTCTGGAAATAAACCCTAATTTTAGAGCCAACATACAAAATTGTTGTCAATTTTCATTTTTTACTCAAAAAATTTGGCTATTTTTGTTAAAATCTTCTGAAAGAAAGTGCAGACTATAAACAAAACTATTTTCTGAATTTATGATGAAAAGAGAGAACTGGTGATGAAAAGGATAAAGTTAACACAAGCTCTGCATCTGTAATCTTGCCACATTAAGTGCATTATTGAAATTTTAAAATTTAACCTCAAGCCACATTAATTTGAATCAAGGATGAATACTTGAAACACCGTATTTTTTTCTACAATATGTTGGTTCAATATTTTTTACCTGGTGAACACAATTTCCTATTGGCTACATTTCTTGATAAACATTTTTGAAAAAATAATAACATGAACAGTAACACAAGTTGATTTTGGCATCCATTTTTAGGGTTAAAATTCACAATGGGTTTCAGGCATCAAATTTGTCATGTAATTGTCCACAAAACAGCAATCAATTTATAAAAGTGATGTATCGACTATTTTTTCTTCAATGTAATAATATGTAGTGGAAATATTTTCGACTTTCTGTAATTTTTTTTTTACATTTTTTCAATTTATTTTTTAATGTATACAGTAGAAGGCATAAAGCTGTGGTCTTTATAGACATTTGATAAATATGTATTTTTATAAATCAAAATAGATGTTAGAGTTCATATTGAACAATCCAGAAATAGTATTGTGACATTAACCTTAGGTTTAGTTAATATTAATGAGATGGTTCAACATTAACCAATCAGCAAGCACCATTTTAAATATGTTGGCAGTTGCATGTGCTATGTCACATGGAGGCATGTGTGCGCATTATAAGCATAGACAATGTTTAGCTTTTGAGCTTAATCACAATTGAATATTTGATTTTAAATAAAAGCTGATGATCGACTTTTACACTTTTTTATACATATATTTATAAGTAAAGCTCTAGCTTTGGGCCTTTCACTATACTCTTCATCTTTATAAACATGTATAAATTTCAAATGGCAGTTTGAATCAAACCAGCTGATCAACAATTACAGTGCGCAATGGTGTTATCAGAAAACATTTCAATTTTATTCAATCGGAATACATTCAATAGAATTGGTGAATTGTATAAATATTCATTCAATATAATTGGATGGAATGCCTTTCTTCTGCCAAGAGTATTGCAATGAAATTTGACTGCTCAACTTTGTGCCTAAGACAACACTGATAGGCTTGCATGTTTTAACCAACAGTTTTTTAAACAAGCAGCCTGTCGGCTGTGATAGCTCCGCTGTTAGCAATGCACATAGCAATTAAAGAACAGAAGATATCATTAGAAAATGAACAATATGTTCAGTATCAACGCAATCAAACTTGCTGTTTTCAACAATATTTCAAAAATATCACTTTGCACCAAAAATATTCATCAAAATTAGATAATTGGAGATATCATCACAAAATGAACAAATCTGAGAGAGGTCCACTTGTAGTACCTATACATTTAAGGTAGAGATGCAGTTTACCTGACAGGTATTTTAATTAGTTAATTAGTTAATTTGAAAACCAAGATGACCTCCCTTGTCCACAAAACTATATATTTTCGGAAAGCTTATTGTATGAATTTTAAAGTTTTGTTAGTATTTTG